TGCCGCTCCAGAACCGGCTTGCCGAAAGTCTGCAACATTCTTCATTGTATCTCTATCGATGACTTTATTTCTGGATTTTTTTAACATCTACGTGTCCATAGAGTATACAACAGTGATAGTTGGATGCTGCTCGACCGCTATGACGTGTATTCAGGCCTACCTTTTCCGTCGGTATGATATTTGCATGCACTTTGGTCTTCGTCTAATCTCGATTCCGTTGAGCACTTCAATAAACCCCGTCGTTTTTTCCCTTTTCTACAATAGCCCACATGGGAGAATGTGGTTGGGGGAGGGAGGAGGCACTCCGCTGTGCTCAGTTTTCATAACCCTCGGAATGAGAGCGCAGGGAAGGAAAGGACGCCGATCTCGTGGCTCTGTAGTGGTGCTTAAAAATGAATTCCAGCCAGGGTATAAAGCTTTTTTGCCTCAACTAGGCCTAGGGAGGGAGCATCGACGTGGGTGAAATGCTGACTTTTCCCAAGAAAATTATAATGGGAATGAAATTGTCCCGCAAGAAACAACCTCGTTGAGAGAGCGCACGCAGGGATGCAATGAAAGGAAGACGATGACGCTATGTGACAGTGGGAGACTTANTGTTAGACGTGTGCGCTCCAATTTTTTTCACGTCTTTCCACTCTTTTTAGTAGGAGGTTTTCCTGAGGGAAGGGACCCTTCCATTCGAGTCCCATGCTCTTCGTCGGTAGGCGTCTACTCAGTACAGGCAGCCAGCGCGAAAGCGGAAACCCCTTCCATCAACTACATTTTGCTCGAATAACGTGCATCAGGGGCTGTTATTCCGTCGAAATTATTGTTGGTCATTCAGTATGCCCATAATGTGGTGCTCCTACTTTATTTTGATGTAAATACCTCACAGTCGGTCGGATGCTCTTGACTGTATTGCCTTTTACAAATCAGATGTCAAGTAATACGTTATCGGAAGTCCCACTTTGCTTTTGTGATATGTACATGTATTCTAGGAATCAAACCGATCACCCTATTAAGTGCGTCGAATAATAATGGTCAGGTAACACATAGTGATGCAGTATTTTCTCTTGTGGTACATTCCCATCGATCGTAGTTATCGCCATATACGGCTGTCTCTATGCCTCGGCATAAAGCAAACGTTTGTTTTTTTTGCTTGAAATCGGACGAGGTTGATAAGAAAACTTTATTCTGGCTACGTTTCGGCGTGGATCGCCGTCTTCAGAGCCTGGAGAGGTCGAAGCAAACTGCTGCTCAACTGCTAAATATCTATCGCTGAGTGTAAATGAATATCCTTCCAATTCCTTTAAGGTAAACAGGTAAGGCATGGTTCCCATGTGCTCTACTCACCCAAAGTCGCGTTTCAGCGAGATCAGTAGAATAAATATTTCGTACAAATATGGCTCCTTAGGCACGAAACGATGTTATCCCAGTTATTGTTTTTTTTTTGTTCCTGCTGTAAAGTAAAGTACCACTGAGATGACAGCGAACACCGATACTTTTCTGCATTGAGTATGTCAAGTTCGCTTTCTAATATCACCTTTATTTCAAAGGATCATTCATACCTTGTGCTTGTGCAAGGAATTGATTAAAGCCAAAAACTATATTCCATTAGTAAGCTAGTAGATCTCTTTTTTGCTTTCTTTCCAATGTTTGGGTTGTCTTCAAGTGACATATTATTTGCATAATCTCAATAGTTAGATTTATTACAATTATATTAGATCTATATTACATGCCTTATAGGCAATATGTAGTAACAGCTGAGTTGAGCTGCTATATTATGGTTGCAGCAGTCGTATAGGCACGGCGATACAGGGCTAATATTTGTGCCGCTCACTTATCAATTGATTCCATCGCTTTTTGACTTTTTTTTCGCTCCGACCGTTGCATAGAACACGATGCCAGCGACCTTTCGAGTTTCCGTCGTCGGTTTTATTTGTGTGCACACCGTGTTTTTCATGGTTTAATTTTAAAGGTAGCGGTTGTGCTACCTTCAATTTCCTACTTTTTTTNAGCTAGTAGATCTCTTTTTTGCTTTCTTTCCAATGTTTGGGTTGTCTTCAAGTGACATATTATTTGCATAATCTCCGTTCAATAGTTAGATTTATTACAATTATATTGGATCTATATTACATGCCTTATAGGCAATATGTAGTAACNCTGCCTCCCTGTTCACCGTTAATGCTGCTCACAGCTACAAACCACGCCTCCAAAGTGAGTTTTTCCAATTTCCGGAGTAATTTCTATAGCTACAGGAACATCACATTCATTTGTCTTTCATTCACTTAATGCCAAATTCATTTGAGATGAGATTTATGAGACCAGCACCATAAAGGTTCCATGTTAAAGTAAAGAAATATTGGAAGGAATAGGGGGACAGTTTTACAAGAGCCACGGAGTTGATACCGTCCAAATTCACAGCTTTTAATGCAGGTGTACCACGGGTCCATTTGATGGTAGTACGTGGTTTTGCAATGGAAACATGCTACCGTCCCAGAGAGCATCCCTGCTCCATGACGTAGTGTCATCTGTTCCATGGGTTGCGTCAGAATTAACACTGCATCGTATAACCTACTTTCTTATTTTGGAAGCTCATAGTTGCGTAGTGTCGTTGAACTAACACCGAAGCCCTCTGTCTAACTTTTACTAGTACAGAAAATAGGGTTCCTTTACAGAGAACCGCTAATTTCTTTAGTCAGCGATTCATGTGTCGTTTAATCAGGAATCAGTGCTTTTTGGAACTATCGCATCCGTTCTCTCTTAAAGCTTTGTTCGGAGACGAATACCATTCTCTTTGAATCTGTCGTGAACTTTCGATTCATAATTTATTATCAGCTGTTGCACAAAAGGCTCAGGGGAGCTTCGGGAAAGGAGGAACCTGGCTTATCTAGTCCAGCTCAGCGCGAACGGCAGGATCTCTATATCGCGGCTCGTTCCCGACTCTTCTCCTTCTCTCGGATCGGCGTGCAAGCAGTCATGTCTGAGAATCCTTGGAATGAATAGTATGCCACAGAAGAAAATCTTTTCGAAGCCGGGGAAGGTTTGGCAACTAATCTACTCCCAAGGAGGACCCACGAAAGACGTATTTGTAGATAAGGTGTGTCAACAATCAACTCAAGTCAAGGGTCAAGATACAAAGAGTTTTAGCGGCGAAAGTAGGAGTTCGTGGTGCGAGTTGTTCTGAGAATGAAGACCTCATCTCCCGCTGGAATATGTAATATCGGTAATCGAGAGAATAAGAGAATTTTATAAAACAAAAGCCTCTTAGTAGAACAACCAATCATACATTTGAGAGTGATGCCCGGAAACAAAATCCACATGGTCCAGTTCTGGAACGGAGCAAGCTAGACGGCCTATTCATCAAACTCTGGTGGGACATGTGGCGTTCATCATTCTCATACAAGACTTCCCACATTTTTTCTGAGTTTAATGAACCAATGTTCGTCTCTGTCCACGGTTCGTGCTTCTCGAGTTATTTTCACAAATCGTATGACGAATCCATTTCTTGCTGATGAAATCTCATAGGCCCTATAAAGGTCCTCAACTGGACGAGAGCTGATGGAAATGCACTGCGTTATTAAGTCAGATAACGTATCGAGAAATTAAGCAAGTCGGCAGGATATGCAACAAAATACTTTCCTCACACTAACCGTGTTGATTATGTAACCAGTTGGCCAGTTGTAACCACGCATGCTAACGTGTGCATCACATGTCCTCAACGGCTTATTTAAAGTCTTACTCACGTAGAATTAATGGGAAATCGCCGACAATAAGGAGGCTATGCTGCCACTCAATGGCAGAACAAAACACCCTAAAGAAGGGAAAGTGTGGAAATATGTGTCTGTAGCCGGGTGAAGCCAAAACCGCGGCCTCGAAACGGTGAACCGATGTTGGTTAGAAATTGGCGGTTCTTCTTCAATAACGCATTCATTCTTTGCCTTTTTGCGGCTAAACATGCTGAGATTTCTAGAGGGGTAGTCCCCGCGTCTTGATCTTCAACCACTTTTTATTCTCATGTTGACCTTTATTGTTTATGAGGGAAAAGCGTTATCAATCAGTTTGGACATTCGAAAAGCTAGTTTTACAGGAGCGAAATCGGATGGGCTTAGTTGTAAAGACCGGATTGGTGTAGAGAAATATGCTTAAGGAAATACGCTACTTCCTACACTCGGTTTATAGGCTCTATATGGAATAAGTTCTAAATAGGCAATGCTAGCATTTCATTACTTGGATTCGGTATATTACTAGCACAAACTGATCTTCGTATTAGATGATTTAGATAAATTTTGCAGGGACCAAGTGGTTACCACATAACCGAGAATGGTAATGCCAGGCTTTCTCAAACTAGAAGTAAGATTACAGTAAATCATGCAGAGATGTGACTTAGGAGCTACTAGCTCTTGGGAGTTCTAATGACCATGGTTTGACCGCCGCCTCTATGAATGTCCGTGTAGTCTCCGTCATTTCTACAACCTGTCGCAATGCTCCTACAACAGCACGTTTTCGTTTCAATTGTTTATCAGAGTGAGACTTAGTAGGAAGTGATAACGTTCACCGATGCAGCGTTTTTCATTGTTGAAAACGCTTGAGAAGTCTGGTTCCTGCTTATCGTAGCATCATTATTTGAAGTTCAGTTCTCACTATTTGAACACTTACTCCAATCCTGCTATCTCATAATGAGGTGACTTTGAAAATTTGCTGTGCAGAATTGTTTTTTCGTGGCACCACAAATGAATAGTACATTGGCCCACCGCCAAATCTTGCAAACCAAGTCCAACTTTCGGTATATCTTGAGATTTATCCCTCTCAAGATTTATTGAAGAACTTGAGCATGTCCAAATTCAATGAAGATGTATGCTTCCGCCGATCTGTTGAAATATTCTGGTTAGCTCGAACACGGCAACTGGGGTCTATATCCAGGATCTGTTATTCAGTTTTTAATGATTATGGTATATAGTATTTTATCAAAACCTGGTTGCGCTGACTGTCTCGTCAGATTGACCTCAATATGTTTTAGTATGTGGTTCGAAGAGCGTAGTTGGTCAAACTTGAGGATGTCAGATCTGGTGGAGGAATGGCGGGATCTGTGGTCGTTCAAGGTTGGTGGAGCCGTCGTTTTTTGTCTATATTTTTAGTGTTTCTTCCGGATATTTTTCAAAACCTAAACTACGAAGTGCCTTGATAGCTCTTTTCTGCTTTCTTTGCAGGTGGATTTTATGGTAGCCGCTATATCGTATGTCTTTGCCACTACTAATTTGTTGAATTTGCCAAAGTTGATATTAGAAAATGGCGGATGTGAGTCATAATTTTCAGTCGATATCTATCCCTTTTGAAAATTATCAGTCGACAGTTTTTTCATCACCCTTTCACCATTCCTAAGTAAAGTTTTGAAGATAGCGTATTTGGGGAAATATTTTTCGAAGTTTTCGCTTCAAAACCTATCTACTCAGTTTCTTCATGCTTACTCTCTCACCACCTTTTTTGTTGTTTTTTTTTTCTTTTTCATTCGAATGTATGTAGAATGTCATACTGGGGATATGTCTTTTTGTGTTATTGTGTCTTTGTTAATCTTTCATTTCATTTCCAGTTCTTACAACTTGCTATCCCATACTATTTCTTTTCAGTAGCATTCGTAACAGCATACGGTGTTGTACTCGCTGTCTTGGTACTTCCAACTATTCTATTGGAACTTGCCGTTGGTCAGCTAACCGGACGGGCACCAGTGCAAGCGTTTCATAGCCTGTCGCCTGTTTTCAAAGGTACGTTGTTTTATAATTAGTGCACCGAATGGATTATTATTGAACGCGACATTTTCGTCTCATTTTGCTGGATTTGACGAAGCTTCCGTACAGAGAGAATTCTTGCAATTTCTATTATTGGGAGCTTTCGTTTGTCTTTCTTTCGAATACCTTTTGGATGTTTTTTCTTCTTTCATAGGTTCAATCGAGTGAAGTCATGTTTTACTTGATCATTGAGGTCTTGATTCGTAGGAAAGTAACTTACGAGAGATCTTCGTCTTGTTGGAAGAGATCTCAATCGTGCTACTGTTTCTGGTTACTTGGATAAAAGTGTGACCTCGAGGGAGTGGATTTATTTCAACTTTCTTAGGTGTCGGGGTCTCCCAAGTGCTGTTTACGCTGCTTGTATTGGCAACGATGACACGATTTCTTGGGTGGTTGTTTCTATTTGTATTTCACCTGTTTTGGACGATACAAGCAGATCGACCAGGTAAGAAGCCTTTTCGGAAGTTTGCCAACATTTCGATTTCGTTACTTTGCGTTTTTTTTTNTTTTTTTTTCTTTTTAGGACTACCATGGTTGAATTGCAAGTATTTTCCGGAGTTGTTATCGGCACCGTGTAGGGATGCGGGATCCATGGCGAATTTCACCTTGGCAGCCCACACCAAACTAAGTGCGGTACGAGACGAGAGTTCTATGATGCAATTCATGAGGTGATTATAATTGTGAGATTACTTTGAGAGCAGTATCATAACAGCTTTTGTTCTGATTCATTACTTGGTTTTACGGTTGTGTACATTTAGCGTACTGGAAAGACCTTCATCTTCAGTAGCAGAATTTGGTGATTTCCAGTACTTTATTCTAGCGGCACAAGGTCTAGTCTGGATTACGGTGTTCTGCGGTATTTGCTTTGGAGTCAGATGGCTTGGAAAAGTGAGGCATTATTCGTGTACATTTTTTCTTTCCTCTTCTTTCTTGTCTGCATTCTAAATTTATTGTAGTTGTTTCTTGTTTTCTTTGTATTTTTTGTTTCTTTTTGTTTCTTGTTTTTGGTCAATTTCGGTTTCTTACCATTTAGCGGTCGACCTTATTACATTGTGGTTAAATTATCAGTGTGTTGTACTCTTCCGTGTGAAACAACCAATACAGCTCAACTATTTGATGTTGTTTCTGATAACAATATCTAACTATTGTTCTTTTATAATTCTTTTTTTTGTTCTAACTTTTCTGCCGTGAATTTCGAGGAAAGAGGTAATCTGGCAATGTGTGTTCCTTCCAATGTGTGTTATTAATTGAGAGAGTTTGATATTGAAGAAACCTTTTTCGCTCTCAGATGAGATTTCGAGTTTGGAAGCAAATTTTTTTACCTCTATTGTTGTACTGATCGAATTGCTTCAGGTTATTCCTTTTTTGTTCATGGCTGCATTCAGCATGTTATTAGCACTGCTCATCCGAGCATGCACAATGGAGGGTCTGCTGAATATCTTTAACATCTATATCGATTCAACCGATTGGAGCAGACTTGCGGACTACAAAGTGAGCTATTCGAAACTTTACTGAAGGTTTGCTGTAGACAGCCATCTTTGGTTGGAGGCTATACACATTCTACGGAATACGATCATTACCTGACTATAGAGCGGTAAACTCATGGAAAATAGGTAAAGGGACTAGCAAATTTGAACAGAAACGGTAATGTGAAAATGTTTCATTAATACGACCGCAGCTTTAGATTGCAAAAGCCTATAAAAACTACCTAAGAAGCTTGATCGAAGTATACTGATGACCAAAAGCCGCAATCTTACCCCCTTTTTCAATTACTCCATCTTCAGCTTCATCGTTTCTAAAGCATCCAAGTATCTCAGTTTCCGAAATGATCTGTTGGAGACCTTATGTTCTCTCGATAAGAGCTCGATATTTCATGTACCAAAAAAGAAGAACTCTTTCCTCATAACATGAATGCGGGAACAAAATAGGTTTCGATATACATATAGTAGACTACCCAGATCCCTCAAATCATGGATTAACGCGCTGGATTTTTTTTATTGCCATGATTTCTTTTGAGCTGATTGATCTAATAGTGAAGAAGCCCTGTTATCACCTGACGATACCTGGAAGGTCCTTACCATCGGGCGAAGAACCGGCCCAACCCACTAAATTTTTCAGATGGGAAATTAGGTGAAAATTTGAATTTAAAGGATTTCAGGGAAGGAAGGTGAATTAAATTGGGTGAGGGGCACACATGAAAGTGTAACTATATCAATGAATTCAATATGGTGTTTTGATTATTCCATTTTACACCAGGGACACGTAATTTGCTATCTGTAGATTAAGGATGGATTCGGTGTTCCTACCCTCCTAAGGCTTAGTTGAAAACTACATCCCCCCTCACTGAAACGCGTAAGAGCGCACAGACGGCCCATCCTCCTCTTCGTCTCTGATTCAGTGCTTGTATAGCACAGAGTTAATTTCTGTTAATTTCTCGTTATACTGACTCTGTTATGTGTGACCCCAACTTTTACCATTTATTACCATGCCATCGTAGGGTTTTATGGCTTTTCTGGGCCTGTTTCTAGATATTCTGCAGCAATGTGTCAGCTCTCTGTTTTATTGACGAACAACTTGTTGACAGTCGATATCCAGGAATATCCAGGGATCGCGGAAAGGCCCGAATGCCTTGTAACTCGTGTTTCAGTAATACTTCATCTTCAGCCCCGATGCATGGATAAGAATTCAATGCAGAAGATAGTTATTTCCATTTTTAATCAAGTGTAATTGAAATATCTGTATATCTATTGCTGATTTGATAAGTGCATAAGAGCACGAACGCCAATTTGATCTGTCATGAAAAAATATAATGAACGTAGAAAAAAATCTACAGAAAAAAANAAAAAAAGGAAAGAAAAACAAGAAAAACGATTACTACTTTCAGTTTACAAACCCTGCAATGTTTAGAGCAGTTTTGTGTTGCTTTTTGCAACCCCTTTTAAGGAGCTGTTTTCAGCTATGGAAAATTGTATGCGAACAAGCGATTCTAGCCACTGGAATAGGTTTCGGCGCATTTATCACAATGGGTTCGTATAACAGAAGATCAAACAACCTTGTCGGGTTAGTTTTTACCGAACACATTGAAATTTCTGCTTTCTTTCCTGTTTTGGGTTTCTTTATTCACCCATTGAGCTATTTGTCATCCGCAATGTATGTTTATTGGATCTGATATTACAAAATCTGACAGATTCTTGTTAACGATTAAAGCAGAAAGAGAGTTTTTTTCTCGAATGATCCCTCTTTCTTCTTTATTCGGACTGATGACGTCCCGATTGAAGACCAATGACTTTGCAGCGATTCAATACTAATCGTTCTTGGACACGCTTTCTTGACAATGATGCAGGTCATTACCGTAGTCGGATTGGTCGGATTCGTGGTCTCGAAGACGGGCTTAGCACCGTTCGATGTCATGGACAAAGGTAATCATTAGCATCATTAGCTACCTCATAGGAGATTTCCTTCAGGAAATCTTATTTGCTCATANAAAAAATAACCTGGTGTCAATGGATGGTGAAGTTCATAGGGTATACTTACTTCAACGTGGAAAACTCGTGTCCTCTTTCTCTCCTTAAGTTTTCAGCTTCGAACAAAACTCTTTATACCAATTGGTAAAGAAATTATTTTAGGCGAAGCACAAATGTGGCACATTTTGGCCTATTTTTCCTATCTGCCAAATGTGAAGCTGTGGAGCGGACTGCTATTGTTTGCTTCTATATGTATTTTACTAAATATATTTGTAAGTTTTTTTTTCTGTTCGAAAGCAGCAGCTCATTTCAAAAAATGAGTGGCTCAGTCACGGTTGCGGTATGCAGTAACTATGTTTGCCACTTAGCATTCGTGGACCTTGGAATGATGAGCTCAGCAATACACTTACGCATGTCCACCTTAATCAAGGAGTAGCCCAGTTGCCCATGTTTTGCGTTCAGTCTTGATTTCATATGTGCGCTTGTTATGCTGGGGTATGCAGAAGTGCCAGGCAATTTATAAAAATTCTGAGGAAGGAAGTTTTAAAGAAGGTGGAGGGGTTGTTCTTATCAATTCTGCTGGTCTTTTATTATACCAAAGCTTGGCTAAATGGGACAACTCAAATACATGTATTGATTACAGTACCTGCTGTCGTTGTCAGTACTGGCAACTCTCGAAGACGCGCTCGGAGATCGCTGGTCACGATGTTTCCCCCGCTTTGTCTTGGCGTTGTTCGTTTGCTGTCTCTGTTTTTCCATCTCGTTGTACTTCGCCACTCAGGTACGAAATTCTGCTCCGTTGAGGAATAGAATAAGGGCGATTTTTCGATAGATGCCAACTCATGAACCAACTGAATTTCAGGCTGGAAGGCATGCATACGAACTGGTCACAGGTTACTTGAAATACATTACAATCTTCGTCATCCTTACATTTGAGCTGTTCGCAACGGCTTGGTTTTATTGTGAGTAATTCAAAAAGCACTGTAAAATACTTCTTTAATATCTCAGATTTAGTTTAGTACCTCATACTCCCAGTTATTTTTCGTAGCTTTGTCCGGGATCCTACATATTTTGAAAAGAATCGTACGGATATCAGTGATAGGAGCTAGATTTTGTGGCTATATAATTTTAGCGTCGTTCTCAAAAGCAATATTACTTTGGTAACACAGTGCCGTGAGAAATTACGAGTTGAACCGTGCTATACACCTCCTGTACCACCTCTAATGTGTTTGCAAAACAAGTTATGCATGCACATACACATTCGAAAAATAAAACATAAAGGATAAAAATTGAAGACTATAAAGGATGGAGTCGTCGGGAGTCCTTCATTCCCTTGTGAGCGATGCGGCCCGGCCTTCGCCTTACTTCATTCGTAGTGGCGTATCGAATGCGTATCTGATCTATGCAAAGACTTACCAGCCGATGTACAAATCACTGCTTTTACCCTCCCAGGCGAGTGTTCTATAATGGAATTGTTCGACCTCGAAAGGATGGGAGATTTGCTGGTTTGAGCGAGTACCGAACGTGACGATTCAAACCCGTGACCACGCTTGTGTGAAAGTGCGCCACTTGCCACTATGCCGCCTCCGCCGATTCATTTTTCATAAGCTCCATCTAGGACTTCATGTCGGATGCAGAAAATGTAAATACCTTTTTTTGAGTATATATAATAAACTTCTTTATTTTTATTCATGAGCTGTAACAGAGAGGTGGTTGTTCAGAAAGTTCAAGGCATAACTTTTTGCACTTTCTTTACTCATCTTAATCATTTCTTTATCCTCTATGTGTAACAGTTATAAAATGTTTTTATTGAGGTGCTCATCGACTTGGAATGGATCTTCATGTAATGTTGAGAAATGCTTGCTGTTGGTGCTTTGGTCACTTCGTTTTGCTGTTCACCTACCTTCTGCCAGTAATTCCAGCGGTACTTTTTAGCGAATATTCAAACATCATTAGTCTGGTGTTTGTTGGTTTTTTGACGCAAGGATAAGTTGCATTCCTCTCTGAGTGGGGACTTCGATTCATTACTTAATCAGAGTTGGCTGCTGCTTAACTGCTGTCTAAATGCTGATAGGCTAAAGTTTTCGATAGTTGATATCATATAATCAGGAACTGATTTTACAGTATTTAGGCAGTAGCGTTGTTGAATCTGCACGATTACGATTTCTCCACATTCTCTCCGGCTATCCATTCGTGGCCGTATTCCGAATGGCTTGGAGCTGCCGTTGCACTAGGACCACTTTTACCGATTCCGCTTGTGTTATTCTTTACCATATTGTGTGCATGCTGCTGTCGCGGAAAGCAAGGATACACGAGAGGACAGGTAGCTGCCGCAATTTTTACTTATCTTTTTTTCTGTTGTCTTTTTTAGAGTCGTACTTTTATTGACTAGTTAAAAATAAAACCAAATGGCGAACGAAATAGGTTTTGGGAAGTGAAATTTTTGGTTGTTGGGCTAAATGAGAGAATCTAGGAGAAGATTTCGATACAATGGTCATTGTGAATGTGTGATCTGGTTCATTTTTCGGGTTTCAGCAGAAGTTAAATGAAGTACCAAAGACGTAAAATTTTCAAAAAAAAANAAAAAAAAAGAAGAGAACTATTTCTACCCCCTGTTTTCACTATTTATATCGTACTTTTTGTTCTCATAAATATTTTGTTATGTGTTTAATATATTGCTTTCAGCGATTACGCAACGTGTTCGCCTCGAATCTTCGAAGAGATCAACGGGATAAGTCGGTTCCTCATCCGCGCTATACGACTTCTGCACCAGGCTACCTTCTGTTACCTCAAGCGCCACTTGCAGAACCAGAGACGTATGCATAGCAGCAGAATGTGCATATCACGTGACTATAGAGGCGATACTCATTCTTAGTCAGGTAATTTTACTTAACTTCAAACACTCTTGGTAAATATTTGAGGTGACAGTAATCTCTGCGATCGTTCTCTTTAGCAGTGATAGTTTTACCACGTTGACGGATCAGTTAAAATTGTTTGAGGACTTCACTTTGCTGTAGCATCGTCTTTCACATAGCTCAAAATACAATGCTAAAGAAAACCGAAGTGGGATAGAGCTTTAATCGTGAGCTATTGAGCTGAAAGGGTCCTGTAGTGAACTAGATGTAGTAGGTTTGTGACCGTAACTATAGGCGTCCTTATTATTTTCAAAAATTGTTCGCCCAAACGGATATCATATAGTGTATTGTTGTACATACTTTGTTGTGATAGGAACTTATGTTTTCTTTTTGCAGTAGCTCATACCGGTATTTCGAAGAGAAGTTCATGAGAATGTGGAAAAGCTCGTGGGCGCCTATACATCTTTATTTCAGTCAGTCATCTGTCTCGATTGCTTTGGTCAGTGCATATCTTAACAATCGAATTTTTTTAGGCTTTTTTCCTCAGCAAATAATGCATGTCGTTTTTGTTTTTATTCCCACTCATCTTTGTTATCTTGTTCATCTCATTGAAATGATCAACCAATAACTCCTTAAGTGCTGCCTGTCGTCCGTCGAACGTTTTACTCATCTGCCCTTCACCCCGTTCCTTATCATCTTATCTGAATATTGAGTATACTATAAGATATATTTGAAGTGGCGACACGACGATTCACGACATCATAGTTGTTGTTGTTGTTCAACATTCATCGTATAGTGCACAGCAATTCTGTGTTTTGTATATTTATTTGTTTGTACTGTTTGACTTATCATCACGATGCACTTTCAAAATAGTATGTGTCCTACTTACGCACACGCTAACAGACCGTAGTGATTTGTTGTTTTGAGTGCATAATAAAGCCACAAATATCGAATAAATGTAATAAAGTAATTAATTAGATGTTTTGTTGATTATCTTTGTTCATTTGCTTGATTAGCGAACATCAGAGTTCTGTTTGATTAGGAATTACGGAGGTCTTAAAAAGACTGGTACGCATGTCGGCCTAGGTGAGGGGTATTTTCAAGTCTAGTAGTAGATTTTTTGAGCAGTTTTTGAGTTCTTCGTCCGCCTAAATTTCGATTGCTAGAATTTGTAGACATGATCACCGCCAAAAGAAGGCAGTTCATCTTGTTAGCCCTTGGAAGTAAAAGAAGGTAAGAGCAGTTGAACAATAGCTTTAGTTTCATATACTTTTTTTTCGAAATACTGTCACATAAGACTAGGTTAGCACTGAGGAACGGTAGAATTACTGAGTATTTGTTAGTACACTAAATCACTATTGTGATGCAGCGCAATTTGAGTGCCTTTGCATTTCCGAAGTGGAATCGTTGGATGGCGTATGGCTTTTCTCGAAAGAATTACTCCAAGTCCTGTCTTTTCTCGTTACTTAGGATTTCTGCATGTACCTGATCAGGAGCTGTGCCATACTGAGATGTAGTCGTTAGTGTCAGTTTTTTCGTATTCTGCTGTGGGCAACAATAGCTCTGCTCTTTAAGTCGTGAAAAAGTTGGCTCCCGTCATTTGCTATAATTTACATACTATAGCACGAGCCTTGCCCTTACTCCATCTTCCTATTGCTCATTTAGGGTCTACCATGACTTACAATGGATCAGCCGGTTGGTTTGCTGCTGCTGCCTCGCACAAAAATACCTACATATACTCCCTCTTTCGAAGCCTGCGTTCGTTTTTTCTTTCTGATTGTTTCTCGAAAACGGATAGCATTCGGAGGAATTGCGAACATGAATTTGTAGGGAGCCAAGCCAAGTTCTAGGAGGCTGAACTCATCTGTACGGTATTCAGTCCATGTCTACGCATGGGTGGGATATTGATCGCTTACCTCGCCATTGAAACGAATCCACCCTCATCCGCACGTTGCACAGGGGTTTCTTAAAAGAAAACTGAATCCCTATTACTGTTGAATTTTCGCATTCTCGTTGTTACTATGTTATCAGTATCTTGGACATAGTGCGTTCTAGGTGACTGGATGATTTCTAAGTGTGAACGTGGCTGTCGATCAACCGTTGCATTTGTTTTTTTACCAAATTTTTTGAAAGATTTCAACAACTGTTGGCGAAATGATAGCGAAGGGGAGTCACTTGTTTTCACATTTGGGTTGTCGGCAGGTGTTCAATGGAGCATCACGATCACAAGCCATAACTCTATAACTGGTTTTAGAAAGGTCTTCGAAGTACTAAAAGTCATTGATTTTAAAAATAACTTAGAAAAGGTTTACTTCAGCTTCGTTGAAGATCAAAAAATATTTACATGCAATTAATTATCACGCCAGTGGGAGAAATTATTTTGAGGGACGTCTTTTTAGGGCCACGAGAACATCATAGGGAGAATAGTATAGTCTCTTTGTGGATGGGAAATCACCCACTGGAAGGTCAAGTGGTTTCTAGAAATGATCACATGGATGAAAAAACAATAGGAATGGTCAAGTTTTCAAGGAGTCAGTCAATCCCTTTTTGAGACCCGAGTCTCATTCGACATTCAGGCAATTCAACTAACAGCAATTGAATGAGTATGTGTTTTAAAGAGTGAGTTGCGAGAACAAGCCGATGTATAAGTTACGGTTTTGCCTTTCCAGGTCACTCTGATGCCTAATAGTCAATTCTGTAGGTATGGAAAGTTCGGTTGACCCAGGCAGGTATTGATATGGGACTCGCTTTCCAGTTCCATGCCTCTGCAATGCTATGCCACTTGGAGCTACCGACTCATCTTGTCATGGTTGGAGTAGAATTCAATATGCATTGAAGCTCTCAAATAAAATCGAATATATGAAATCATGGTGAGTTTAAAGTAGCCGCTCATGCTGCATGACATTTTCTCGAATAGAATATTCTAGCCTTTTAGAAAACTATAGTTCTCGTTTGTGGTAGCTTAGCATTCGATGCCTTGGTAGGATAAAAGATTACAGCTTCAGAGCCCATAGATTTAGATCAGATCCAGCTCTTCGAATTTCTCCATTGTTTTGGGGCCTGCAAGCAGTTAAACAGTTCTTAAGCAATGGTTCACCTGATTAAGCTGGATTTGGTCCTTTTCTATGGGGTTTCGGATGCTTGATCATTCGCGGTTTCTGTCATATGATAAGTCCGAGTTTCAGAGATTACAAGGAGACGTGTTTCTTCAGTTTTGTCTTATGTCTTATATTCGTCCTGGGATTTGAAACCGAATTGATAAAGATGAATCTGGCAATCGAATCAATTGACCCAATCGATATCAATAGCAAAATACTTGTGTTTAATTGGGCATCCATGCCAGGGTACGATTAGCTTTTTTTGAGCTTTGCAAACCCAAACCGGACTTGTGTCTCTTCTTTGCTAGTGAGCGTACTCCTAGTTTGGAGCGAATAGTGACCTTCCGCGTTTGGGATCAAGATTGTAATAGGATCGAGACTTTCATACGAATTAAAATCTAATTTAAGAAAGGTCTCATGATCTTATTACTGGTCTTAACAGTAGAACTGTGTCTTTTCTCGACGAGCGGACAGGCCATAAAAGTTATTATTACCTCGAAATGAAAAGGAGAATTAGCTTAATGTGCAGCTGACCACGATCATAAATCATCTGAGATCTCTTTTTTTTCTCTATGAATGTCTGACAATTAGCTTGTTGCTTTCTTGTCTATCGCATTTATAACTTCCATTCGACTCATATTTTTATCACTTTTCGAGGAAAAACGGACGCGTTTTTATTTTTTTTT